AGAGGTTAGAAGAAGTTGGTACCGTTTCTTTTTTCTGTAGTCTGTTTGAATAGGGGAACCCTCCCGCAAAAAAGGGGTTAACAAGGGCACTACTGGGGGACCTCAGATGCAACCAGTGGATTTCCATGAGAAAAAAGCCACTCGGCATCCTTTTTTGGTTGGTTGACTTTAAAGGAATCGGAACCGTGAACAAGTAGGAAAATAGGGGACCCTTAAAACAACATCCGAGAGTGGTCGCCGGGGGTCTTAAAAAACTGTGCTTGTTTTGCCATTGTGTCTTCTTACATTGTGTCTTCCTTAGTTGCAACCTGGCCAGCTGGCCCTGTTTGATTGAACCAAATCTGTGAACCCATCAAGAAAACAAGAAAGGAACCTTTCTGGGAAATGCGAATCCGGTAAGGTCGACGCTTGCGACGATTTTGTGCGCGCCATCCGTTGGGCAAAAGAACCAGGCTTGGGGCAAGTTCCGGCTCCACTGGGTGGCCCCAAATCCAAGTCTCAAAGCAACTTGGACAGCATTTCAGGGACAACTTTCTGCAAAGCCCATGCGTCTCTTCTCGAGCCAAGGGCCCCACACCTTTTGGCCCGAAACGGTCCCAGTTCAAGTCCTCAAACATCCTGAAACTCATAAGCTGTTTCTCTACCACTCCCTCAACACAGACTCTACCGGCAAAAAACCGAATCCCTCAAACTCACATCGTCAGCAGTCAGATTTGATTCCAGTGCGCTCGAGCCTCTGACGAGTGGAGGGACCTGAGCTGGCAATGCTTCAACAGGACAACCTGGTTTCAAGTATGGTTCAATTTGAAACCATTGTAGCCACTGCTTTGTCCCATGTCAAAAACAAAACCCCAAATACTGGCCAACAAGCAGTCTTTGGAGGTTGCTCGTGCCTGGCAAGTTCTGCCTGTCATATGGGAGCATGATGATTGCGGGTCCATTAAGGTTGTCAAACATACCCTGTCACTGGGGTGAGAATGAACTGCATTGTCTTGAAACAATTTTCACCCTATTTGTCTGCTTCCTTGGTTGCTGAGGACCCCTCTGCACAAAGAATACCTCCGTGTGGGTCCGATGGATTTTATCCACTGTGTCCCAAAAAGCTTAAGTCCAAAGCTCCTTTCCCAAACCAACGTGTTGGACGCCGGATGCGCTCAGGCCCGAACTGGGAGACGCCTCAGCCTGCCAACGCGCATGGCGTCAAGCGCGGCAACTCGGCTGCTTTCTGCTCCCCTGCTAAAAGTTTAACTCTTAGTGGATTAATGGAAAACCCATTAGTTGGCAAAAAGTCAAAGTCCTAACATCAAAGCAAAATGCAACAAAGGAAACATTGGCTGAAAACGTTCAAGGGCCCGCCAGATTCACGGAGGCCCCTCAATGAGTAAAAGGATATGCCGGCCAATGAACACATCCAACTGAGAAACTACCAACAGCGGGTGTGCCTGTTTTTTGGGGGTCTCCTTAAAGAGAAACCACAAGGGAACCGTTTCGGGGCTCCCAGAAACGCCCATCTTGGAGAGCAATCTTAAGGCTGCAAAAGCCACCAGTGCCACTCGATCACTCCTGGCCTCTGTGGGGATATCATCCGCACCCTGCGCGTGCGGACATGCCATGCACCAGGGTAACTCCAATTCTGGCCATGTTGGAATTCTTGAGGAATAGGACTGGATGACGGAATCCATTTCGCACCACCTAAGAAACCCTGGAATGATTCGACTCTCCTGCAAATACCAACAATGGATTCAAACATGGTTTCTTACGTGGTGCGAATGGGATTCGCCCCATCCACTGTAGTGATGCTTGTCTAGAATGTAGAGGTTGGGCCATCCCTACCAAGCCCTGCGGCACGCGCAGGGGTGACAAGTTCGATGGCCAGACATTTTGGAATGCAAGCAAACGTTCGGAAGCACGCGTGTATACCTCGTGATTTCACAGAATCTACTGCAAAAGCTGAAACAGAGAGCCAAACTTCAGATTCAGCGCTGCACGCACAGCATCAAGCATGCCCGAACAGCTAACGCAGTTAGGCTACCTGCTTTGTGCACGGCCGAGATGTATCCTTGATTTTGCAAGACTCTGGAAAAGCAGGCCTTTGGCTGATTATCCATTTCAAGAAGACCAAGATGTAGACTATAATGAGATCGAGACTTCGAGCTCTGCTACTTCCCCCTCATCGCACACGCACAGGAGTTTGGTGCCAGGTCAGTCCAGAACAGTGATTTGGCCACGTCGCGTTCAACTTTCCGCCCACTTCCAGTGCCCGTTTGCTTCAATGGATTTCCGACTCTTTTACCTCCCGCCATATCTGCAGGGTTCCTCACTTTTCCCCTCCCTCTAAAAACATGGGTGTGGTTCAACATTTAAGAGCCACGAGACTGCCCGGTTGAGTCTATTCTTTCATTTGCCAGGGTTCCATTTTCAAAAATCCTCTATTTTTGAGCCACACCCACATGAGCTTGGAAAGCCGAATTTTTCCGCCACAAAGGCATCCATTTTGGGAGCAAAGGCGGTCCAACCCCCAAACTGCACGTCTTCCCTTTGCTTCTTCGCCCACTGGAAAAAATAAGAACATATTTCCAGTAGTGAAATCGGTTCCCTTAACAAACCAAAAAGGGAAAACTCAACAAAACAAAGCACATCCTTAAGCAAATAGATTCCTTTGAGAACCAACCAGGGGAAATTACAACACGTATTCATTTCAGCAAATGGAGAGGTTCACTTCACCCACCCCCCCATGCGCCTGTGGCTCGGCCTGTGCGGAGGTCTTTTTAGCAAAGCATAGAGACAGTTGGGTTTGTCCTTTTTTTGGTTACCAAAAGGAAACCAAGGGAAAACCGGTTGCGCCATGTTTGGGGGGGTCACCGAAAGAAAAAGAAAAGCAACAACGACAAAACACCCATCTAAGACATGATGCTCACTTCCGAACGAGCGGATTGTTCAACAAAGAAACCTATCTTTCTATTTGCCACTGAAATGGTGCTTTCACAACGTAAGGCAGGGAATTCAGGGAGTGAGCATACCGCTAATGGTTTCCAATGAATACCTGATAGCGGGATCGATCCCTGCATGTTCGAAGTCCTTCGCATAGCCAACATGTCAAACCTGGACACTGTTTTGGCGAACAACGGTTCTTTGAACCTCTGCGAAGCGTGGTGTCCTCGGATTTCCCTGCGAAAAGTGAATAACTTTCAGTGGGTTAAATTCGGACACCCCCCACTAAACCAACCAAACTCCGAAAAAAAAGAAAAACAAAACTGAAAAAACAACTGTCTGGAACAAGACAGCTGGGACCCGCCAAGCATGAGGGCATTCCAGGTACCGATCCGAGGCGCCTGAAGCCCGTAGCTGACCTCGGAACTCTCACTTGGGAGAGTGAAGTTGATCTCATGCGAAGCCTGGGAGAAAAAATGCATCGGCGCCATGTTTGTGGGCAAAAGGAACCCCCCCTCCAAAACTTTGGAGAAACACGTCACACCTTTTTAGGGCCGCACCATGTTTGTAGGCAAAAGGAATCCCCCGCAAACAAGGGAAACAACGTCCACCCCGTTTCAGGGCTGGGAAACCATTGGGAAAAGCAGATGAAACGGTCGGCCTTGGGGAAGTGGGTGTTTGATAGACGGCGAAACCAGGTTCAGTTCTTTCAAGCCCCCAAGCCAAACACATCAAAAACTGTGGCGCGACCTTTTTGAGAGTAAAGCCCCCGTTTTCCGAAAGCCAACAGCAAATCGCCCATTTTTTCGGGGTGCCCACATCTTACACTTATTTTCGGGGCTTTTTGGCCCACATTTTTTCGGGTTTTTTTGAAGACAAACCCATATCTTTCACTTCGAGCATAGTGAGCTTTGACCTGAACCACGGTGCCATGAGTTGCCGAGGTCCGCGCGAGCACTTGCCGCACTTCCGGCCCCTGAGACCCAGCAAAACGTGGGCGCTCACTCCATTCCAACGCTGGAGATGTACTTCCTCCAGTAGAGAGGTTGGAATAAGGGTCCCCTTTTTTCTGTATGTCTATTTTAGTAGGGAACCCTCCCCAAAAAAAGGGTAAAAGGGGAATACTGGGGGATGTAGTGTGGCATGAACCACTGGTTTCAGGTTTTGGATTCGTGCCTAGAGGCAACTGCTTTGTCCGGGGACAAGGACTTGCAGCTCCTGTCCATTCCTTGTTTGCCTCTGGCTATCCTTTTGCCAGTCTACAAAACACACACACACACATGAACCCAAATCGCAACATTGAGAACACATAACCTCTCAACCGCTGGTTGAGGGTCAATTTGGGACTGCAGCGTGTGATGAAATTGTGTTCTTACATAGGTATTGTGTTGCTTCTTTCTCAAACATCGATATTAGTCATGGTATGTTAAAACCGTGGAACTTGTTGTTTGGGACGATGTTCAAGGACACCTGTCATTTGCAAGGACCCTGGCTTCAGCAAATCGTCAAATATGGCCATGGGTCAAAAGCCCGTACCCCCAGTGAACATCCCAATCCCCACCTAAAATAGGCTCTAAACTTAGTGGTGAATTCACCTACCCCCTAACATGGCACCCTTGGCTTTGACCCACCGGCACATATCTAATTGGTGTCCCCCCGGCGTAGATTCATGGCAACCGCAGCCCTTTCCCAGGCGCGCGCGCGCCACTCCTCTTTGCCCGTCTGCGACCGGAATTCGAACCAGGCACGGCGGCTCATTCAAACAGAAGCCCGCGGTGTCCCGGGCTTCTATCATGTGCCCGAGCGCACAAAGTCGGGCTTCAAGGAGCGGAAAGCCAGTGGTGAGAAAAGACCTCTTTCTCTCGCTTTCTGTGGAGGGAAGCCAACAGGTTGGCGCCTCAGCGCATCTGGGACCGGTCCTTTCGCTGCCTCCAGTACCGCATCGAACACCCACACACGCGCCATGGTACCAACAAACCTGGGAAACTGAATGCGGTTTTGGGTCTACAGCCACAAAAAAAACAAAAAACAAAAGAAAGGTGAAGAGTACAGTTTGGTCCCACTTATTAGCCTCATGGCTCTTGCAATTGTACAAGCTGATTCCAAAGACGGAGCTGCCGTGATCTCGTCTTGAGGACTCGGAAAGATCCACCAGCGCCGCGCGCCCTTTAAGCGACGCGGCGGGCTCGTGCCGACCGGCAACCGACTCACGGCGGGGCAGTGCCAGGCGGAAACAAAGACCTTGGGACGCTCGACGCTGAGTGGCAGGCCTGCCTTGAGTCTAGGCGTGTCGCGGTCCAGATTTGAGAGCCTGGAACAAGGGCAATTTTTTGGGTAGTCTATTTTAGTAGGGGAACCCTCCCCCGACAAAGGCTGGAAGGGGTTGGGTGTGTGTGCGCGCGTGTGCGCGTTTGCGCACGTGTTCCATTGCATATGTTCTTCCGCTGTTGGTTCAAAAGGCAGGAAAGTGCGTTCCACAACCCTGTTTTGCCCAAATTTCATGTCCGAGTCCGAGCAAGCTGCTGACATGTCAGTCATTTAATTCCCCTGCAAAAGGTGGAATATACCTTGGCCGCGGCCCATATCCGAGGTACACAGAAAATATGACTTTCTGGCTCCGCACCGTTTGTACAAAGGCACTGCCTGCTTGGCTTCGCTTGCCTTGCTCACTCAAGGTGCAAAAGCTGGCTATGAAGGTAGGCGTCGCATTGCTGCCCCAGAGGGATGTCTGCAGTATTTCGCATACGGGTGCCCCAAACCAGTTGGTTTCTTGTTGGTCACCCTGTGACTACCAAAAGCGGTTCGAACCCCATATTGAGCAAGCCCCATTTTGGGGGCCAAATGTTAAAGTCAGGCGATTAGGCATCCATTGGCAAAGGCCCATTTATCTCCGACTTTTCGCCTTCTCTAAGCACAGCGTGTCAAACGTCTGCCCGAAAAGCCGACACCTGCCCAAGTCGCAGAGTCCAGTAGCCGGATGGAGGTGTCCTTTTTCCCAACAACTCCGTGGCAGCTGTCCCTTGGCCTCCGGGCTCATGCCGCGTCTGCGGCGCGCTAAGATGGAGGTCCTGCCGAACCTGGCACAACGGCGCGCTGTCCCAAACATTGGAATGATTCCTTTGGTTTCTGTAGTATAAGTGGCCGTGGGTCAAAATCCAAATCGTACCCCCAGTGAACATCCCAATCCCCACTAAAATAGGTTCTAAAATGGGCAGTGCACCTACCCCAAAATGGGATCCTTTTTTTTGACCCACAGCCAAGTTAGAGCCGAAATCGGCCTCCGGAAAGTACGATTCTGTTTGATCCAAAGACCACTCTGAGCTGTCCCGGCCGCAGTTTTGGCCCAAAAAAACCCGGGCTCGAAGTGACGAGGGCCACACCTTTGCGGCGGTGCCTTGATGGATGCTGCAGTTTCGGAGGCAACACGTTTTGCCCCGCCCGGTGATCCTTGGCCGGAGAAAAAGGGGAACCTTTTCTGCCGTTCAGCATTCGAGAACAAACTCCAGGGGGGAATCCAATTCCGCGTGAGTTCATCGGTCTTTTCAGGGCATCATCGCCATCGTGTCCTTGCTGAAGGTTGCTGTTTGATAATTAAAACCCCCTTCCAGGCGGTCGGGTGAAATTGCAATGGTCTTTTTGTCGTAAAAAAGAAGAAGGCGAAATTCGTGATCCTTGCGCTGGGAAAAACTGGATTGATCTCATCCCCTTTCGGTCGGTCGGGTTGGGTTGCAACGGCCGGGTTGGATTTCCTCCGGAGCCTCCGGCCTGGAAGGAGTGAAGAGGCTTCGGCCTCGGCTTCGGCTCCTGTCGGAACCCGGCGCAGCATGCGCCGGAGGTGTGGGGGAGTTGTTTTCAAAAACCCTTGTGAAGCTGGTTTAAAGGGAGACCAAACAAGAAACTCGCCAGTTTAAGAGGCCCAACATAGGGTACATACCCATTGTGTCGTCCAACTCGAGTTTTGAAAGATCAGCACAGCGGCACACAATTGAATTCCAGGGAAAGTCTTGACACATTCTGATGTGAATGTCGTACATGATCCATGACCCACCGGGATAGATCAGCCCCTCACAATATGAGATATGAACACCTTGCTTGGCATTGGCTGGTTGAGAGTATGACCCTGGCCAATGGTCATTCATAGAGGCCGTTTATGAATTTTAGGTTGTTCTTGCCTTTGGGGAGGTATTTCAGGAGCTCGGTACAGTCCACAGATTGGCCCGAACATGATTCAGCACAGGGTCCTCTTATTTTCAGAAAGCCTAACATGGTGTTCAAAAGCGGATCATACACACACACACACATAGCGACCTCAGCTTTGCAAACATACACCTCTTGTCGGTGTGACATTTGGTTGCTGCACCATTTGCTGGACATCAAATTTACCTGGGGCCACCGCCCATTTTGCGGGGGCTCCATCCATCAAACGTCCCCTTCCCTGCCCCTCCACGCGTCCCCTCCTCCACTTCCAAGATGGGCGCCTGCTCCGTCTCCGACTCTGAGGACTCCTTCACAGGCTCAGGCACCTCGGTGAACCAATCTCCCGATCGCGTCCCAAGAAAGAAGGAGCCGTCGCAGGGAACAAGCTAAAGTTGCCCCAGGATTAATAAGCCAGTCGCATTATTAGGGGGGTGTCCCTCCAAAAGTGGTGGGGACACCCCCCTATTAACCAACCAGGAGATTATTAATCCGGGGTTAACATTAAAGACATCGACAGAAAGATCCATAGTACCCGCTGTCCAGCCAACATGAAAGTGGAGGCTCGTAGTCTTACAAGACTCTCTTGCGCACTTCCAAGATTGGATCAATGACTAAATCTCAGTTTGAAGGGCAGCAAGCACCCCTCATTCCCACAACCCTGCTGTTAAAGTGAGCGTATAGATAACTTCCACTTGGCTAAGACCCCTGGAAAAAACACATTTCCAGTAGTGATTTGTTTTACTTAAGGACATGGAAAATAAACCTGCTTCGCAGCCACTGCCGACACGGAAAAAACAAACACAACATCTGTCCGGCGCACCGGCAGGAGCCGGCTCGTCCATCGTTTGGCCGGAGCCTGGCTGGCAACTTCCAAATCGAAATGCTGGTGCGATGGGGGAACGCCCGAGACCGGGTGTTGGGAATGAACCAGTTTAGGGGATTCTGCAACACGGGCATTTAGAGGCTCATCAGTTGATGCCATGCATGTAGATTGTCCAGACTGCAGACATGTCCCTTCCGCAGCTGAAGGGCCCTTTTGCTTGTAGCCGAGCCAGACAATTGGCCACGACCCCCTAGTCAGCTGCACAGGCGGCTTGAGAAGAAACAAGGCTTGGCGCCATTCGCTCCCCGCGCTACTCCCGCTGCATTGGTAGCGGAGCAGGAGGCAACGATTCAGTGCTTCCTGCAGAGCCCGATCAAGTGCACCAAGAACGTTGTGGGCACAGCTACTTGATCGCCTTGAGCCTAAATCTCTAAGAGACTCTGATCTTTGACTGCGTCGAGCCCTTTGGAACGACCCAGGAAAAGATCATCGCTCAGGACTTCAAGATTGGCACGTTCCCGGACGGCGAAGTAGTCATGGACAATGAATTCAGGTCTGACCATCTTCCATCCTGGGATGGTCAGGCGCGATCATGGCGCAGGTACTACAAGGAAGTGGCCTGGTGCGCACAGTCAACACCAGCCCACAAGCGCAGGTACCTGGCGGCAAAGCTCATAGGCCGACTTCGGGGCCCCGCAAGGCTCCTAGCCATGTCATGGTCAAGGGCCGACTTTGATCATGCCGATGGAGTACTTCAACTGCTTCAACGACTGGCGGCCTCACCCCTCGTCAGGAAGTCGTTACCGAATGCCGCAGCGATCATGCAGCAGTACTTCTCCTTCAAGAGGAACCCCGGCGAGGGCATCGGCAACTTCCTGGTGAGGGAGACTCTCGGCTATGAGGAGTTTGTGGAGGCTCTTCTTCGCCTTCACGAAGAGTCTTCCGGTGTTGACCAAAGCCGCAAGGACTTTGGCCTCCCTAAGAACATGGATTCTGGTTGGGATGAATGGGGCGAGTCCTGGTCAGATTGGGACTATCAGCCCGTCACCGAAGAGATCCCCCCTTCCGAAGGAGAACAAGCTCCCGAAGCACCTGGAGACGTGTCCGGTCTTTCAGGAACTGCCGCACCTGGATCTGCTCCCAGCCAGGAGCCTAGCCCTGATGCACAAATGGGTTCCCCTCCAGCACAGCGTGTGACAGATACCACTGGCACACCGGGAACCATCACGGAGCTCTCCATGGCGGACAGCTTCATCATGGGTGTTCTTCGTGGCTGGCGTCTTCTTCAGGCAGCTTCCCTCAGTCCGGAGGACAAGCGTGACATCCTAAGCACAACCCGTAACTCCCTGGAGTACGAGGCCATCAGCCAAGCTCTTCAGATGCTTTGGGATGAACAACTTCTTGGAAATCGTCAACGGCCTCCTCAGCACCTGAACTACCACGAGGCCGACCTCAATTACCAGGACGCGTGGGATCAAGATTGGGAACCCTGGGACCCTTCTGATGAGAGTTGGTTTGATAATGCCTGGGCCCAGTCTGGTTGGGAAGAAGATCCTGAATCATGGTCTTCTCCCGCAGTTCCAGAACTTCCTGATGAAGCCCTTTCAGCCGAGGAGCAAGATAAACTCCGGGATGCCATGCAAGCCGAACGCGCAGCCGAACAAATGGCCATGGATGCTCAACGCACCTGGACCGAAGCTCAACGTGCAACTCAACTGGTTCGCAAGGACCGCGGTTTCGGCGCATCGTTCAGTAACTCTGGCAAGGGCAAGAGTTCCGGCGGCAAGGGCAGCGGCTGCTTTCTCTGTGGTGGCCGTCACTATGCTCGAGATTGCCCAGATCGCCGACATCCTTCCAAGGGTAAAGGCAAACATGCCTTCATGCTTGCGGATCCCTACAACGAGCACTTCTTCACCGGCAAGTCTGGCAAGAAAGGCAAGGGCTGGAAGGGGCGCTCCAAGTCAGCCGCATGGGCCGAACATGATCTCTCCTGGATCTCCAAGGGCAAGGGCAAGAGTGATCAACGCCCAACTGTCAACGCCTACGTCCAGGACATGTACGGCATCAATGGCTTGGAAATGCACGAAGGACCCCACAATCCCTTGGAGCTCTCATCAGTTAGCCCTGGAAAGGTAGCTCCACATCGAGGCATGTTGGATTGTGGCGCCACCGCAAGTGCTGGCCCTGAAGCCTCAGTACAGCGTCTCATTGAGGCAGTTTTGCGGCAGGACAAGTCCGCCACGGTGACTGTGGACCCCAATCAGCGTCCATACTTTCGCTACGGGAGTGGTCGGTGGGGTCGAGCACAGTACCGGGTGACCCTCCAATCAGATCTATCTGGCCACCCCCGAGTCTTTCATGTGTATGCTCTTCCGAACCCCCCCGAGTTCTTCGAGCAATGGTTCACCACCGACATGCTTGTCCCGATTCTGGTTGGCATGAGCCATGCAGGTTCTGATGGTGTTGGTATGGTAGTCGATTTGGCCACTGGTTTTGCCATAGATGCCCTGTTACCTGATCCGCGTCCCTACCAGCTGGATAAGAACCACAAGGGTCACTTCATGGTTGATCTGGTTCACTTTCTTACTGGCGGCAACCTAAACACCAGCGCGGATGATCATCCAGTGGTGAAGGTCACATCCCGGACCCCGACATCATCTACCGGCAAACCCTGGGATATGCACACCCTTTTCCCTTGCGAGATGTACGACATGAATGTCAAGGTTGGCACTTGTTCTCAGTTGGACCCCCTTGTGAACACCACTACACCTCATGGTCCATCCCGAGTGTGCGAGCTTTATGCATGGAAGCTCATGAGAGAACATCGAACCGTGCCGGCCTGGCTGATATCAGCGCTGGACTCATCTGAGTCCATGGGTAGTGTGCTCTCTCCCAATTCGACTCCGGCACCTCCGAGCCATGTCCAAAAAGCTGACCAACCCTTTGGACACCACTCCGACCACGGCGGAGCTGCCCGAGTACCTCACCGCGAAGAAGAAGACCTCCAAGGCCCCCATGCCCTTCGATCCGGAAAGGAGCATGGAAATGGACCCTCGGGACATCCGCGCCAAGAACACCTGGCCATGCTTCGACCGTCACCAACCGGGGAACTGGGCAAGCAACCCCCACGGGCGCTGGATCCATTGTCAGGTATGCGATCTCAGGCTTCAGTACGTCCCGAGACAAGGATCCCCGAGCATGTCTACAATGGTGCTCAACCACGTGATGGTCAACCGGGCCATGGTGGAACTACAACAACTTCTACCTGGCCGCATGCCCACTGCCCAGATCTGCAAGGCCATGTTGGACAAGTTGGTGGCCGAGGAGAAGCTCCTGGTGATGATCCACAAGGTCAAGGATCAGCCAGTCTCCTCCACGAACAAGACAAGTCCAGCTCCTCCCAAGCGCACCAACCACAAGGGGACATCAAAGACTGCCGCAGGGTACACTTCTCCGAGCCCGTCCATGGCGAGCAGTCAAAGTTGGGAGAAACCTCAGATGGACACGATGGACATCTTTCGGTACCTCTCCCCGGAGGAGCAGACCAAGCTCATGGAAGTGGTCACCGAACGTCAGCAAGCAGTCGCGGACCAATTCTCCGAGGAGGAGGAGGAACTTCAAGAAGTAGCGTGATCCACCCCCTGCCGGTCAGCGTCGGTGCGAAGGTCATGCAAATGGTGATCGGCGTGCAAGCCCTCATGACCACCGAGCTCCTCAACCTCAACTATGGCGACCGTGATGTGTTGTGGGAATTTGCATGTGCCCCACAAAGCTGGCTCTCTCAAGCGGTGCAGGACCACGGCATGGATGCCCAACGCATCAACCTCTACAACGGCTTCGACCTCTACAAGGAGGAAACCTGGGTCCGTCTTCGGCAACTTCGTCGTGCCCGTAAACCTCGAAAACTGTGGTTTTCACTTCCCTGTACGAAGTGGTGCCGATGGACCAGCCTCAACTACTCCACACCCGAGGGCAAGGAGAAGCTTGAAAAGGACCGCCGTCGCGAACGGCGGTTTGCGAGGGACTTCATCCTGGAGTCCGTCGATGAGATACGCGACATCGACATCTACTGGGAGTGGCCCCATCCTTGCTACGGGTGGGAACAACGACCTCTTCAAGATCTTTCAGCAGAACTTGGAGGTCGAGATATCGAGTGGCTCCACTGTAGAATCGATGGTTGCGCCTACGGCATGAAGGACCACCTCGAGGAAAACTTCCTGGCAAAGAAATGGTCAATTCGCACCACCGATTGCGACTTCCACCGCCACTTTCACGCCAAGGTATGCCCCAAGAACCACCAGCACACCTACATCCAAGGAATCGAAACCTCAAGGTCAGCCTACTATCCCTGGCGGATGGTTTTGGCAATAGCCAGATGCTGGCGCGATCAGCTCCTACCACCTCGCTTCCATCGCTGGGCTCACTCCAAGAATGAGAACCATGGTGCTCACTTGGCACTGGAACTTGCAGCTCAAGAAGATGGTGATCCTCATGCTCTACCAGCACACCCACCATCCGATCCTGGCCAAGCTCCAGCAAGACCCGAACCTCATGCACCTCCACTCGATGAGCCACAACCAGATCCTCCAGCAAATCCACACCCTCCACCGGATGCACCCAGTCCTGAAGAAGTGCAACGGTGGGAAGCCAAGCTAGCTCACTTCCACAAGGCTGCTGGACACCCTACGAACTCCAACCTGGTTCGTCTCCTTCAAGAAGCCGGACATCCACGATGGCGCATCGACAAGGCCAAGGAGTTCAAATGCAGTGCATGTGAGGCACTTCGGCCTGGCGGACTCAGTAGTGGACAAGTCCCTCCAGCGGCAACCTATCCTCTATACCAAGCTTGGCAGGCAGTCGGTCTGGATGTCAGCGGAGTACCTCGCAAGGTCAAGTTTGCCCTGTTCATCGACCTGGCCACCAAGCTGCGAGTAGTCTGCCCGCTCATGCAGTACAACTTCCTCGAGATGAAAGCGGAGAATGCCGAGATGCTCATCAAGGCCTTCTCCGAACGTTGGCTCTCCGACAAACCTCGCCCTGAGGTGCTGATCCCTGATTGCGGCAAAACCATGACGGCCAAGTCCATGCACGACTTCTGCAACTCTGTCGGTGTTCAACTAGCCTTTCCCCCGGAGAAGGAAAGCTGGGCACATGGCATTGTCGAAGCCGCAATCCAAGATGTCAAGATGACGGCCACAGCCATCCAGACGTCCAGTCCAGAGCAGAACCCGGAGATCACGCTCTACTTGGCTGCGGCAGCTCTCAACTCCACCGAGTATACACGCGGTTTCAGCTCCTTCCAGTGGTGCTACGGCAAGGCCTACAACATCACGGAGGAGGACATACGCACCTTCGAACAGCTTCCTCAAGATCAACGGCACCGTGAATTCGAGCAGCTCGTGCAAGCCCGTCAAAAGGCGGAGGATATTGCCCGGTCAACACGTGCAAAGCGCGTTCTCTCCAAGCTGGTCAACACAACAGTGCGACAACCTATACGCACCTTCCAATGAGCTTGAACTTCCTGACTTACCACCCGAACCCGACAAATCCACGATCATCAAGCCCACTCATCGCATGAAGACCAAGGGTGCCTTGAACATCCGACCTGTTCCGATGCCCAAGGCCAAGGTCGCTCGCACTGGAGAACCTGAGCCTTCATCAAGTGCTCCGAGCTCTACATCCACAGCAATGCCCACACATTCGGCGCCACCCGCCGGAGAGGTCAATGAATATGAAGAAGACCCTGATCTTCGTCGGGAACTCAAGAAGGCCCGCATCACTCCGGATGATGCTCTATGGATTCAATCCTTGCAGGAGGAGACCATCGACCTTCACACAGCTCTCATGGACACCGAGCAAGTGATGGTGATGGAGTTCAACCTGGAGTTTACCAGTAACCGTGAGAAGAAGAACTTCATTCGCGATCCTCACCTGTTCCTCGTCAAGCAGATGCGGAGCAGCGAAGTCAACCTCAAGAAGCTCACACCACAACTCCGCGAGTTGTTCCACCGCGCCAAGGCCAAGGAAGTCAGCAGCTTCCTCAAAAATGAAGCAGTTCGCAAGTGCCTGGATAACAAGGAGATCCAGGAGGCCTACAACTCTGGGCGCATCATGCGTGCTCGCTGGGTCCTCACGTGGAAACTGGTTCCAGATGAGGAACATCCAGAAGCCCTCCGAGATGCCAAGTCCAACGCGCAGACCATGGTCACACCTGATGGCCGCAAGAAAGCAAAGGCCCGCATCGTGGTGCTCGGATTTGAACACCCCGATCTTCTGGACCCTTCCTTCCGCACCTCGAGTCCGGTTCAAACCAACCTCGGGAGGAACCTCCTGTACCTCATGACTTGCCAGCATGGTTGGGAACTTGAAGGTCTTGACCTTGCCACGGCATTCTTGCAGACCCAGAAGACCGAGGAGGATAAGAAACTCTGGACCTACGGAACTGAAGAGCTTCGAGAAGCCCTAGGCGTCGGTTCCGAAGGCATCATTCGCATCCTGAAGAACGTGTACGGCTCCACCACTGCACCCCGTGGACTTTGGCAGGACCTCCATGCAACCTTCAAACGTCTTGGTGGCATCTCCCTGACTTCGGAGAGATGCGTGTGGGTATGGCTTTCGCAACATCAGAAAGACCAACAAGGCCGACCTCTCGTCATCGGTGCCATGGGTGGTCATGTAGATGATTTCCACCGGACCGGAGACAAGGCCAACCCTGAATGGAATGAGGTCTGTCAGCAGGTTGACCGTGCCTACGTTTGGGGTACCATCAAGCGTGGAGAATATCGCCACGCTGGCACCGACCTCGTCATTGGCAAAGATGAAAACGGTGACACCACGATCACCGTCGACCAACAGTACTACATCGAGTCCCTCCAGGACGTGAACATCCCTCCCGAACGCCTTCGTCAAGTTGACGCCGTTCTGGATTCCACCGAAGTTGGACACTGCCGAGCTACCCTGGGAGCCCTGCAGTGGGTTGCGGTACAAACTCAACCACAGCTCAGTGCGAGATGCAATCTCCTGCTCACCGAGGTGACCGTGACTCCTTCGACCTCCGTTGCAAGAGAAATTCAACAAATGGTGTGTGAGGTCCGCAGGAATCCCGTCAAGCTGGAATTCTTCAAGCTGCCGGGAGTCCAATCTTGGACCGACGTCGTGTTCATCACCATGGGCGACCAAGCTCACGCCAACCGACCTCAAGGAGATAGCACTGGCGGCATGATCACCGTTGCTTCCGGCCCACGAGCAATCACTGGCGCACCCACCAAGATGTGTCTTTTGACCTGGCGATGCTGGAAACTCAAACGCAAGGCCATCAGCTCGAACGACGCTGAGGTACAAGCCATGGTCGAATCCGAGGACAACAACTTTCGGATGCGGCTTCTTTGGTGCGAACTTCATGGCCAGTCCATCCACCAGCACCGCGACAATGACAAGGTCTCTGCCGGCGAAGAGGTGGTCAAGCTTGTCAAGGGCGTGGTCACTACAGACTCCCGAGGCGGATACGATGCTGTGACTCGCCATGAGTCTCCGATGCTTGGGCTCTCCAACATGAGAGCAGCGCTTCAAGCCTTTCAAGTGAGAGAAAGTTTGGAACGCACCCACACCGAGCTTCGCTGGACTGCCTCGGACTATGACTTGGGCGATGCCTTGACCAAGAAGGCACCATCATGCAGAGCCGGGTTACTGCAGTTTCTGAAGACCTCTGTGTGGTCTATAGCCTTCGACCCCAGCTTCCAGAGCGCTCGCAAGAATGCCAAGGCGGGCAAGTCAGCGCTGCAGACCCTGCAGAATCCCTCGTCTACCTCAACGGCCCGATCCCGAAGTAAGCCAATCACGTCATCAACTGAGAATGATTTTGTGCCCATGCAACACGGGCATTTAGAGGCTCATCAGTTGATGCCATGCATGTAGATTGTCCAGACTGCAGACATGTCCCTTCCGCAGCTGAAGGGCCCTTTTGCTTGTAGCCGAGCCAGACAATTGGCCACGACCCCCTAGTCAGCTGCACAGGCGGCTTGAGAAGAAACAAGGCTTGGCGCCATTCGCTCCCCGCGCTACTCCCGCTGCAGATTCCCTTAATGGACACACTACAGGATGGTGTTTTTTTTGGGGTCATTCCAACTCATTCCCTGCTGAGAACCAGCAAGTGGTTCCGATTTTCGTAATTTCAATTCGGGACCCGAGATGGTGGACATCATTTAGGATATTTTCGTACAAACATTTTTCAGAGGGGCTCTCTTTTACTCAACATCCAAAGGGGGAAAGAGTCCCTTGATTGAATCCTATGACTGGAATCACCTGGTCGCCCTTTTCTGTGCTTCACCCTGTCGGAGCCTGAAAAACCGTGGTCATATTTACGGGACTCCGACAAAGCTCATCACGTTGGGCTTGGTCGATGGCTTTTTCGGTGACCGCCGAAAGGGGATTCCTGTCACAGCCAAAGCAACGGCCTGCCTTGTATGGCGCACGCCAGCCAGCTGAGGCCTTCGCCTGTTTGACAAGTGAAACTGCTCAGCTCGCGCCAACAAAACAACACACTCGTCATGTGACACATGGGTGCGGGTCAAAATTCAACCAGCAGAGGACCACAGGTTGTAATTGTTCCACGTTTCCATTTTCCAGGGCAACCCAAATTTTGGGCACCAAATTTTGACCTACCGTCACATCTGCCCACCGACTCGACAGATCGACTTCAACGAGACGCGGAAAGACCACTCGGGATGATTCCATCGCGCGGTGCACCTGCAGCTCTTCCTCGTCGCAGAAGCCCCGAGCTTCGCAGTAGTCCCGAACTCAGTGCTCTACATCCGGTCCTGTCAAACTGCATGGGAGACAACCCTCCCGTCATTTGGTTAAGACCCCTGTTGTTGCTTTTTTTGTAAAAGAAATCCAGTAGTGATAGGATTCCCTTTAAAACCAACAGGGGAAAGTAAACACATATATATATATATATATATCTTCTTAAGCAAATGGAAGCTTCTGATACTGCACCGCGCGCTGAATGCTGAAGGCACTGTTTGAGCATCGGACAGCACCAGCACAGCACAGCGAGGATGAGAATGACCTCAAAGGCAAGGCGCCTTTCTTGGCTGAAAGCTTGCCATCGGTGTGATAGGCAGGGAATGAGTTGGAATGAACCCAGGCTTTAATCTAAAAAAACAACCAATGGGATGGTCGAATCGGGATCATCTAGGAACCCACCAGTGGGATGGTCGAATCGGGGTCAGACTGTCAGACTCCATTTCTCATTCTCGAAAAAGCGTCTCTCGCACCCATCGCAAGCTAAGGGTCCTCGCTTTGCTTTTCCGGGCACACAGATCGCAGGGATCCAACCCCCGCTCTTTGGGTCAGTCCGCCTCAGTCCGGCGTCTGAGTCACTGAGTCTCTGGCAATGATGAATTGGCATACGATGCCAGGCGCAGAGGACCACCTGGGCGTCATTTTTTGGCGAAAAACCCTGCAAAACGGCGCGGTGTTCCTTTCATTTCCTTTTAAAACCAACAGAAAAGGGGGTACGCATGCTGTTTGCAACCAAAGATACACCGCCCAGTTGCCGCGATCCTGAAATGGGAATGACCTTTTTTGGTCAAAGAACCCAGCCAAAAAGTGAAAAAGGGCGCCACTTCACAACTGGATAGGAGTCTTTGACAGGATGGCTGAGACTTTGAGATTTGGAAAGAGCTTCCACGAGCTCCTTATCTCGCAACACGTGTGACACAATTCCCAGGCAATGCTTTGCGCTCGCACCATTCCCTCATGAGCACTTCCATCACGTTGCCGGGCTTGTCTAAAGCTGCAGCTTGCAAAAGCAAATGGACGTTGCCAGGCCGTTTTCAACCAGCGGTTGGCATACCATTGCTTTTTCTTTAAAACCACTACACAGCACCGGTCCCCCCTGGGGAAAGAAGATATGTATAGACCCGAGCCTCCTTGGTTCCCGCAAATCAGAGAGATGTTGGTCCTAAGTCACCCGAAAATCATACCCCAACAAACACATGCTGTGGAGGTCCTGTCCACATTTCCATGGAACCGACCAGAGAAGTTGTCCCTAAGACTATTTTTGTCTTCCAGCTCCCCGAACCGTCAGGATGTTCGTGGACGGGAGGAATACGGACCCCCTTTTTAGTTTCATGCCAATTGACAATTAAGGGATATCTAGGAAAAAAACAACCAAGCAAGGATGAGGGTAGACGTCTCCTCAGCTGTTCATCCTACATCTTCAATGGTTTCAATAACGTCTCCCTTTCGTATTTGCCCAAAGAACCCAGAAATGAAAGGTGAATCATTTTCCCACTCCCGGCCACGGCTTGCAGCAAAGCGTGCTTGGTGAGCGCTCGCACAACAAAGGATACGCTTTTGGGCCATGACTACAAACAGGAACCCAAATAGGAACACCAGAACCAAACATGAGTAAATATGTAACAAATAGGATACCCTTTGGGATAACCCAAATAGGAACAGCCAAAGGCGAAAAGGCCACGGTTTTGAACTTCTCCCTTTTTGCCGGAAGGGGTCCCCGCTTCTTTTTTTGCTATCCGAATACCCCTCGTGATTATTGCTTGATGTTCTACCCGGCTGAAATAAGGGACCCCCCTTCGTCACCGCTTCCGTTCGCAAACAACACCACATGGAGTAAGATCGTGATTTCACTCCCCAGGATTGGAGCTAAACATAGGAAAACGCGCACGGCACCCCTACAAGTGGCTAGTTTCCTTTGTAAGACTAGGTCCTCCAGTAGAGAGGTTAGAATAAGGGTACCCGATTTTTTTCTGCAGTCCATTTTAGTAGACGAAAACCCCCCCAACCAAAAAAGTTGGGTGAGAGGTCGGGCACCTAGCTGGGGGACCTAGAAGACTGCATGTAAGCACCAGCCAGGAATTCAAAACACACCATCCATTTCCACCAAGTTACCAAGAGATCCATGAAGAAGACGCACTCCCCATCTCCGCCGTCCAAGCCTGAATGGCACACCAAGATCTGAGCCCTCTACACCATGGGTGTCCTTTTTGGAAAATACAAACAACCAGGTCAACCAGGAATCGCGCTTTGTTTTTACCAAAACAACCAAAAAGGATATCTACTCGCTACACCATATTTGTAAGAACAAACAAAGAGACAGCCGCTGCCATCGAAGGTCAAGAGCGCCTCTCGGACGCCTTAAATAAGAACCACACACACACAAACCGGGTATCTCTAAGTCATGTTGACCCTGGATTAACCAACCTCAGTTTACTAATAGTGGGCCTGGGTTTGGTGGTGAATCATCACTTTTGGAGGCCCCCCCCCCCCTGGGCCCCCTATAACAGGATGGGTTTATTCATCCCGCATGGCTTGCTTTGCGCGATCTTATGGTAGATTTGGACGTGCTCCGATGTCGAGCTGAGGCGGCATTGTGAGAGCAATGTCCTGAGGTCGGATGCCATGAAACAGCACAGCAAAGATCTGGGTACCGTCCCTATCCCAAGTAAAAGGCTGGTTTGACTGTCGACCTCCGAAAAGGGATTGATCTCCCAACCCCTTTGCGGGCATGAAGTCGCCATGGAGCACCGAAGAAAAAAGGAGACGTTCTCAGTTTCGTTCAGCGCATTCACATAGAAGCTGGCTAAGCCAAAGAGGGCATAGGAAACTATGCCATGCCTTGTATATCAAAAAGCGCATGCATCACGAACGCATACACCTGGGTGAATTATAATATTTCACCAACTGGAAATAAGGTGGTTGGGGGGCTATTCCCCACATAAACCACAATTTGGGGTGAATTCGGTCGTGTGAGGTCGTAATAGTTCACCCAGACTCACCGCGAAGACCTCGCTCCAAGTCGTCCGGCCTTGAAGAAAGGTTGGCACCTGAGAAGGAGTCGTGAAGCCGAACACCGCCCGAAGCTTCGGACCGAAGCGATCGCTTCGTGGAGTGCCATATCGAGGAGATGGCGATTGCGAGTGGCCGTGGAAGTTGTAAGGAAGACCATTCCAAACATTGGGTGGTGTCCTGGTTGTTTTGAAGCTACCTGGAGTCTCCTTCTGACCCGAAAAAACAACATGGTCGGTCATTACCCAAAATAATGGGGTCATTGACCCATTTTTGATAAGGGTCATGGAGACTCCAGGTACCTGCCAACCAACACCAGCCAGCAGCAAACATCAGCCAGGCCCTAACTCTGGGCACAACAAACCCTCTGAAACGCACAGAGCCCAACCAACAAAGGAATCCTTTGCATGCCAAGTTCTCAGACACGGACACCTAGCGAATCAACCGGTGGATCAGCCCAACTCTGGCTCGGCTTGGCAGTGCTTCATGGGCACTGAGGCCAGCACTTGCTGAGGTTCCCTGCGCCGAGCCGGCCAGCCGGCAACTGCTCACCGGGCACCTACCTACAGATCTGCATCCATTTGAGACGGTTCAAAGACTGTTCACATGGCCGCAGCGACGGCAAATGCCAATACTGGCAAGAATCAAGCATTCAATCAATCGACAAATCAATCGGTAAACAAATAATATGCTATCACGTGCTTTGCTACCAATATGGCAGGGACTTAAAGAACCTCTTTGCCCGGAAGCTTTCATGGGGATTGGCCAAGAGAACCCAGTCCCAGTCTCAGCCAAGGGGTTGCCAGCCCTGTGCCATGAGAATGTCCCGTTCAGAAAGTGACCCCGAAATCCGTTTGCTTCAGATGCCTTGGGCAGTGCCCTTTAATGCCAACTCGATAGAGAACCACACGACCCTAGGTAAGTAACAGTAATGCTGTTTCCATTCATATACCACTCCTCTCCAAATGAGGGGGAACCCGCAAAAAAAAGAGCTTCTGCATAGCCATCAAAAATGGGCCTGTCTCCAAATAGGAAATGGAACTCTCCAAATGGGTGGTTTTCCTTGTGGTTTCCAATGGAATCAACATCGTAAATTGCATCCTTGAAAAAGAAAGACCCAAATGGAAGGGTATTAACGCTAACACCCCCGTGGGAAGATTCACCTCCACCCCACCCCACCCCACCCCACCCCACCCCACCCCACCCCACCCCACCCCACCCCACCCCACCCCACCCCACCCCACCCCACCCCACCCCACCCCACCCCACCCCACCCCGACGACTCCGACTCCGACTCCGACTCCGACTCCGACTCCGACTCCGACTCCCCGACTCCGGTGCCTAGGGAGGCGGTATACTCCGACTCGAAGCCTTGGCCCTGCCAGAGACTGACGTTGCAGTCCTGACAAAGGCTCAGAGGGGTCGGTCTGTGGAGGCTAAAGGGCAGTCAGAGGGGTCGGTTCTGGGGTTGGTTTAAGGAAAAACATGTTGGAGCATTCCCTAAAAACAAAAAGAGGACACCCAGAGATGCCCTGGAAACTGCGCAGGGCATATAACCCCTGCCTTCTTTTGGGCGGGTCGTTGAAACCGCAGGGTTACCTCAATAACAGCCTGGTCGGCACCTTCTTTGGTAGTCTGTAAAGGGAAACCCCCTCCCAACAAATTGCACAAAGGTGACTATTGGAGGTCTTGGCATGGAGCCGGACATATCGCCTAAAAGAGAGGTACGCGGCTGATCCCCATCGTGCCAGGAAACCCTGATCTAGGATATAACAAATCAGGAAAACCCCGATTTGAAATGATGGCAATATTTTGAGGCATCCACTGCGAACCTCTTTGTTGGGCACCATCTACTACCGCACACTCACGCATGCACGCTCCGCGCTGGCACGCTCCTTGCCCGCGCTCATGAACTTGAAGTAGCAGGAGCATTTGCCCTGCAGCCTTGCTCATGACGAAAAGTTGTTGGGTCTGTTCTTTTTGAGGGAATCCTTGCTATAAGGCTGGTTTAAAAGGAAGCCACAAGGACAACCACCATTGTTGAGTCCCATTTGGTGGTGCATCCCGCAAAATGCGCGGAAAAACCAGTATGAAGATTCACATTGGCCATGCTGCTTTGCCGGCAAATCCCGAAAACCGAACAGAAACGAACTGCAGCTGGACGACCGGAGCGCATCAGCTAGAGTTTTGTTCATTGTTGGAGCTAGTAGCACCCTTGTTCTATCCTCGATGGGCTAGCTCGAGCCAGCCAGAAATGCACACACAGCCGCGGACCAGATGTCCACAAAAGGGAACATTGCAGCAAGCTTGGGGTTGACTGGCGGTTGGGGGGCTTTGGCTCTACTCGTCCACGTGTCTTCCAAGATTGTCAGTTGCTCGCGTTTTGGTGAGCTTCCTACTGCCGAAGAGTGACTCAAGCGCCGACAGTTGATGAAAATTCCAACGTTGCTCTTTTTGGCTGACGGACCTCCATTTGCTGAAGCCCGCGGGAAAACTATGATGCGCCCAATCATCAAATTGTGATATGTCCAATAGTGATAGATTCCCTTTCAAACCAACGAGGGGGAATAAAGACATACTCATTTTAGCAAATTGGAAGAACCGATCCCCCTGGTTAAGATCCAAACCCCGAAAGACACGCGACTTTGGAGGCTTGGCTAAAAATGGATTGGGCACCTGAGACTCACTGTGCCATTGCTCTATCGACCCTGCGAACGTGCCACGAGATCTTATTAGGCTGCGCGAAAGTGCTGCTGCGCCTGCCAAACTTTGCGATAGCACTGCGCCTGCCACGGGATCTTTACTTGGCCTTGCAAAAGTGCCATGCCTGCCAGCTGACCTTACCAAAGTGCTGCACCTCATCTTGCGAAAGTGCGCGCCTGCCGAGCAAAATCATGTTGCCAAAAGTGTGCGTGTCCGTGCCAATGGACGCGGCTCCGAACGCGCTTCGAGATCGCTCCGAACGCGATTCGAAACCCGCGGAGCGTTGCATATTCTAACATTTCCCTTCCCCCGCCACTTGCGCATGCTTTTTGCAAACTTTCAATGAGTTGCCGTACATAGACATGTCTTCTACACTTGCCTTTATTTTTTGTAAAGATGTCTTAATATCATGTCGTGCACAAGGATTGTAAGAACATTTTCAGCACAAAGAACTTCCGATTTGGTTCTGCACCGTTTTCGGGACACGACAGCTGAGTGCCCAGGCAGCAAATCCTGGCCGGGGGCCAATGGACCATGTGTTCCCCTGTAACGTGGAAACTTAGGATCCTTCTTGCAGCTACCTTCCTTTAAGCTAGGCTGGAATTAGAACCCCAGCAAAAAAATATCTTTTTGACAAAGGGAACCCCAAAAAAGCAAAAACAAAAAAAAGGGGAGCAAATTATGGGGAAGTAAGCAGGGTTTTCCGGCTTGAGTCCGTACCTCTATATCCCCGCGCATAGTTCCAGAAAACGTCCTCCATTCTGAACCCCGTCATCCTTCTTTCTCGAGCAGGATGCTCTCTTCGTTTCTTCAAAACCGAACATCCAAAAGGGCTCCCTGATGATAGGATATAGACACTCTGAGGGAACCGGGCCGTGAGAATGAAGAGAACAACAACCCCTGAACACCTGCACTGAAAACGAATCAAGGCGTTTGTCTTGGGTCTTTTCTCAGATACATCGGAATAGTCTTACAGAGACAGGGTTGCTAAAGCAAGAAGCCGCCAAATGTGTGCATATATATATATATATATGTTCTTTGCAGTATTTATCTCCAAAAAAATGTGCGCCCCGGACAAACATTCTTGTATATCCCCAAGAGGACATGGGAAATCGGGTTGGCCCTAGTTTGTTTTTGGGTTATTTGGGTGGACATCCCCCATGCCCTCTACAAACTAACAATATATAGACCGCTAGTAGTTTTTGCAGTCTCTCATACATACATATGTATGTAATATATATATATATATATACACATATCATATATCATGTATAGACGTATGGTCACCCCCCATCATCTACAAGCGGCAGGATGCCTCGTTACTGTGCCAAAATGAATATGCGAATGAAGATAACCTGCGCATCTTGACAACTGCCCTTGCACTTCGCCATTCATGCAAGGACCCACAGAAACGCCAATTTGAGTCAACACAGCTGCAAATCAAACCAACATAAAGAACAGCACGCAAACCTTCCTGTCCTTCCAGCTGGGAATTTTTCACTTTGGGTGGACACACACACACACACACACACACACACACACACACACACACACACACGCACGCACGCACGCACGCACGCACGCACGCACGCACGCACGCACGCACGCACGCACGCACGCACGCACGCACGCACGCACGCACGCACGCACGCACGCACGCACGCACGCACGCACGCACGCACGCACGCACGCACGCACGCACGCGCACGCACGCACGCACGCACGCACGCACGCACGCACGCACGCACGCACGCACGCACGCACGCACGCACGCACGCACGCACGCACGCACGCACGCACGCACGCACGCACGCACACACACACACACACACACACACACACACACACACACACACACACACACACACACACACACACACACACACACACACACACACACACACACACACACACACACACACACACACACACACACACACACACACGCCATTACCCTGCAAGGCTAAAACAATTAAACAACATGTTCCATGCGCCCGTTTTGTGGACATGGCTTGCTCTTTATTTTTAATTTCAAGATCCACCTCTTTACAAATTGCAGCAGTGCTCCCGGGGTCGAGTTCGGTTCCTGGTCACAGGGCCTGTCGCGTCAAGTCCCCTCTGGATGCAAGCGCCGTGCCGAATGCTCCATGGACTTCTCGACTGGAAAATGCGTCCAAACCCCACACCCTCAATGGGCTTTGGGACAAAGGAGCGCTCTTTGCTTGACTTTGATCCAGGCAACCCTTTGGTGTTTGGGTTTGGGATTTCGACCCTTTCTTGAGGGTTTTGCTGCAAAACCCCATTCTATACCTAACCGGGCTAAGCCTTTCGGGGGAAGCTGATTCTCAGCTTCCCACACAAAAGGTGGTTTGGAGCCGAATCGGTGGTTTGGCGGGCTGGGAAACCCTACTTAGCCACAAGAAGTAGGGCTTCAAACCCAAATCCAAAGCAATCCAAATCGCCAAAGTGCTGCCTGAGAACTTTCGGGAACCCTCCAAAAAACGCAGGCACTGCAGGTTTGGAATGGGCCACGAAATGTCCCCCGTGCGATGGGCAATGTGATTCGAACAACCGAGGCGAACATCGCGGCAAAGCTTGGAATACTCAGGAATTCCCCGAGGCTTTGCTGTGAGATACTCAGAGTAGCCCTGTGTTGACTTGGTCAGCCTGAGATAAGGCACCTAAGAAAGGAATTTTCTGAAGCGGCATGAGATCACTTTGCTGCCTCAAAATGTCACGTTTCGACTTAATTTCGCTGGAACTCATGACGTCAAATGACGAAATTATTTTACATTGCTAATTCTACCACTTAACATCTTTAACAGTGCAACACTCATAAATAAGCGACACACGTTGTTTAGGGGGTGTCATCTACCCGGGTTCTTGTGGCTCCAATAGTCACAAGGTAACTACGTGTCCACCCAAACAAAACAACAACAACATGCATCAAAATAGGGTGAATGTAACATGACGGTTGTCCTTTTGGCTCCATTTGCAACAGGGCACCCTCAAGAAACACACGCACAAAAAAACAAGAACCACACGACGCCATTCCGGCCGCCTCATTGCCCTTGACGTCAAACTGGTGCTCCACCTGCCTCAGGCATGCATCAAAACAGCCAAGGAGGTTGGGTGGTTGCTCCCCCTCCTCCTGGCCCAACCATAGACAGCATTGTGAGCTCACATGCTTGGCCCAAGAAATAGACTGGCAAAAACATTGTTGGCTGACATGCATGGCGTGTCAATACCGGCTTTCCTTTGAACGGTCAAGTCATAAGGAACCTAGGCAACCGTGCCATTTTGGACTTTGGGAACTTTCTCTCATCAAAGCAAGCGGCACAGGAAATTGGCCATGTGTGGAATCACCGTGCCTTTTTGCGCTAGCGACAAAGAGAGAAAATGGTACTGACACAAACGCAGCTCGGCGATGATTGAAATCACCACAAAGCAGGATAAACCGTGACAAACTGTGCTTCAACCTGGCGAACGTAGCGTGATTGGGCAATTCATACCCTAGTAACATGTCGAACCCACACACACACACAAAGACATCATGGTAAGGCCCAGGGACACCTCAAAGCACTGACAGACACAGATTCAAACCAAGCTTCTGACTTGCCCCCCAGAAACAGTCAAAGCAATGGCCCCAGAACAAGCATCAACGACAAACACCAAGTAACATTCAACAAACACAACGAAACATCCGACAAACACCAAGAAACATCAAGAGACACCAAGAAACATGAACAAACACCAAGAAACATCCAACACACACACACACACCAAGAAACAAACATTCAACAAACACAAAGGAACATCAACACACATGCACGAAACATCAAGAACCATCAACAACACGCAGGGCATTTCTTGCCGTTCCTCAGGGCCTGGCTCGCTGGCCATGCATGCCAGGAGCTGCCCCGTGATGGCGGGGATCCGACCCAAACAGGGCCTCAGATCGGGGCCTTGGGGCCTCGGGGCCTGGCCTCGGGGGCGTTGCGGCGTTTCGGGACCTGGAAAAATGGCCAAGCCAAGGGTTCTGCGATCTTTTTGGCGATTTTTTGGAAGCAGCTGAATTAGGAATTAGGATCCACAAGAAAAGCGGACCTTTAAAGGAACTGCCAAGTATTCTGCATTTGTTCGTAAAGGAATTAGGAAGCTGAAGTAAGGAATAGACAAGCCAGCAGTGACTTGTTGCTTGGAAAAGGGAAGCACTGTCAACAAGTTTGCGGTTCAGGGAGCTGCAAACAGGTGATCACCTTTGGAAGCAAATGACAAAAAAAAACGGGCACCAAACCAAAAAAACAGCAACAAGTCAAAAGGTCAATTCGCTTTGGGCAACTGAGATCAGACTCGTTAACTTGGGATTGAGATAGCAACGCTCAGAATCGGACCTTTGAAGCCTCACATCATTCATTTGGGTGAATATATGTTTATATATATATATGTATATCTATATATATAATATATATATATATATAACTGGGTGACCCCGAATCGGGTTCAAACCTATGCGTGTCAGGATACACATGATTGTCCTTTGGTGCAAGCTGGAACCCGATTGCTACCAAATGCTTTAGGGGGAATCAAGTCCACACTGCCCGACACGCAAGCAGTTCTTTCCAGGTTGGCTAGGTCTTCCAGTAGCGAGGTTAGGACACTACTGGGGACCCTAGTTGGAAAGGAATCAAGTGGGCTGCAAACTTCATTTCAACGATGGGCAGCGGCTGTAAGAAGGGCCTCGCACAGCTACTAGGACACCCTCAAACCCCCCCCCGCAACCCCCCCCGCCGCTGCTCACTTCATTCACAAGTTTCACTTTGGGTTCGTCAATGGAGCTCCATGAATGAGGAGGGGGGGTGGCACCCGAGTCATGAATCGGTCTTTTGAAGCGCTGGCAATAGAAATTCATGAATGGGTGCTATTCTCATTCAACCCATCCTTCATCCTGACGTTTGGAATCATCCACTTTGTATTTGTCAGAAATAGTTTCCAAGCCTTTTTAGATCTTTCGGTGACATGTTTCATCGCCTTG